TTGTTCTACAGGAAGAAAGCCAGTTGCCAGGCCGGTTTGTGTCTGTTTCTCTTCCAACTTTGCTAAGGGGCTGCTTATCACGTCGTAAAAATCAAGCATGTCATTTGAGTTTGTTCTATTTGCTGTTGAATCTTGTGGTTCATGTGTGACGTTCTCCTGATAATTTTTTACTTGTTCGTCATACGACGATTTCATGAAAGGTTCTTTCATTAAGGCTGCATACAGATTAACTTCCCGGGCAAAGAGGGGAGTGGCTTGGAATATATTCTGCGAGTTATCACCCACATCTCGCCTCTTTCTCCCGAGGACTGGTACAACCAGGGGCGCTGCCATTGCTCCAGTTGCTCCTACTGCCACTGTCATAGACAGTCCCAGAGCACACCATTTATTTTGTAGACATGCTTGTACATACCTATTTGATAAAAAGCCATTTTCTGTTGCTGTTGGCTCGTTCTTGGCATCTGATGAAATGTGGGAACCATCTTGTCCCTGAGACTCTCTGCGGGTACCATCACTAATGCCGAATGGCTTAGCAGTAGTTTGGGCAGCATGAAGGACATGAGAAGGCTCTTTGGGTGTGACAGGCACTCTGGGATGATCACTGAGCGCTTCCTCAAGTCCCTGAAGCGTTGGGGGGAGTCTGCCAAACTCTTGCATCAAATAAAGCAGTTGCTCTGGAGGTAACTCAGAAAGGTTGATATTTTCTTCATCAGAGTTTGATGTTGTATGACTAGGAGATCCTGGAAGTATGCTTATTGGAGTACCAGACTGAAAAGCAGGCCTAGGTGTAATGGTATCTTGACCAGATCCCTTATTATCTGCCTCAGTCTTGAAACCAATATTGTGGTGCGTACGTTCAAAATCGTTGGTGTGTCCACCATCATCTACTGAGTCTGCACTTGGAGATATTGGTTCAGGGTTTAGTGGTTGACCCTGGCGGGAATTGAAGTCATTTGGCTTCAAGAAAAGGTGCTCTAGCATTTGAGGATTTTTAGCTAATAGAGACTGAAGAGCAACAATCTTCATGGCTTCGTCTGCTGGAGATTCTCCTGCCCCAGCAAAAATGGCATTAAGAGCTTGAAGTTCTTGTAATTGCGTAAGACTTAAATCAGCTGAGCTTGTAGCAGGGTAAAAGCTACTCGAACCATCGGGAGGTGGAGGTGAATTGATTAGTGGGTTGTGGTTACTAAGGGAAACAAATCCTTCATTTTCACTGTTTTCAAAATTACCACTGATATGAACTGGATATCCTTTGAGAGCATCATTTCCTACCCCACCAAAGACTTGGGATGCTGGGGCCTTTGTAGGTTGGTGAGTTGGAGCAATGAAACTGTGGCTGTTTTCTTGTAGACCAATAGGAACACCAAGAAGCCCAGGATTCCCAACACCACCAAAAGGAACGGAGCTGACTGTTGATATTCTTGGAACTGATGTAGTTGTTTGTTGTGGATATTTAAGAAACACAGGTGGTGGGATACTTGGCTGATAGCTAGCCTGGCCAAAATTTACATTTTGTTCTCGAGTTCCTAAAGGCCAGGGGTGAGTGGGCCCATTGGCTCCGAGTTGAGGTTGGTAGGAAAAGGAAGAGAATGGCTTTAATGCAGGTGGTTGCTGATTTGGTAATTTCGTGTGAGTTGATGACGGAGAAGTAGAAAGTGAGGAGACTTTTTGGGGAGAGGAAACTATTGTACTGTTGTGTATCAGCTGCAGAGCTGTTAAAGCATATGTATCATTCAGATCTGAGGTGTTATTAATCTTAAGCGAAGTAGGGGAAGAAGTAAATGCGAGTAAGTTTAAGTTATTAATACTACTGACATTGCTGTTATGTACTTGAGGATGTCTTAGGTTTGCCCTGTTGTTATCTTTTACAGGTGGAAGGCCATGGACGTAGGCAGAAGGTAAAAGTGAGCTTCCTTGTAAATTTATGGTCTGGCTGTCAGACCACAACCCTGAACTACTATGTCCAACAGGACTCTTTACTGTAGACTGACTGGCAGTGTCTGCCCTCCAAGGTAACCCTGAAGGCTCTGTGCTTGTTTTTGTCTGACCACGTAAAGTATGCAAGTTTTCCAGCACATGTTGCATTTCACCAGTTGAAGGAGCATCACTAAGAAATGGGAGGTTTGCTAAGATACTTGGTGCAGTGATATGAGCATATTCATCTGACTGCAGATCAGTTTCTGGTAAATGCTGACTCAGAGTACTTATGAGGTTCGAAAATGTGCTGAATGTAGGTTTGACTTGCCCTGGTTGGGGATGCAACTCAGAAAATCGATCAGCAGTGCCAGTCGGAGTCCAGATGGTTTGATCGCCGGCAGCTGGTTGAGTATCTTTTAGAACCATTTGTTCATAGATTGGAGGCATTTGAGGATTTGATACATCGGGCAGAGAATATGATGGGTGTTGGTTTCCTTGAGGATAAGGAGAATTTTGAGAATGTAACTGAAAAGAGTGTTGCAGATGCTGTCTTTGCGATGAGGGATGATCAGTTTTATGGGTAAATAGATCAGAATATTGTTCAGATATTGGATTTGGAATGGAATAGGATGGGTGATATGATAAGCCAGATTGTGAAGAGGATGCAGGTGGTCTCGAATGTGTTTGCGAGGGTTGGTAAGTTTCTAGATTCCCATGTAACCTATTAAGAAGCTGCGTGGGCTGACTCTGCTGGACAGGTTTTGGATTGCTATGTGACTGGAACACCTCCGAATTATCGTCTATGTTAATGGGTAACTCTGGAATCCTTGTTTTGTTTGGGAACATGTTATGGTTAGCTGACTGACTAAGTGGCTCTGTTGATGTTTCATTCTGAAGAGATGCCAATAAGGCTTGCCATGAGTGTACAGATGAATTTGACCCAGATAGGTGAACATTGGCACCCAGTATCTGCAAAAGGGTTACATAATCATCAAAGTTATCAAAAGGTTGTGGTAAATTGCTGCCAACAGAAATCTCCGTCTGTTCCTGATGCTGTGAGTCTGGATTGTGAGATGCTGGACTTTCTTGGAGCTTGATGCTGGTTTGCTGGTAGTTGGGGATTGGTATCTTACTTCCCTGTGAAGCTTGTGAAACTGAATAATTTCTCTGATGACTCTGTAATTCCTGATTAGTAAATGCAGGGAACTGCTCGTGACTCTGTGCCCCATTTTGATGTCCTAGCACTGATATTTGATGACCCATATGTGATGTTGATTCGCCTGAATTCTGGTTTGATATTTGCTGTTGCAGATAACTTCCTGTTAGAGAACTGGATACTGGTTGCAGTAACTCGCCAATAGATTGAAACTGAGCCTGTGAAGCGCCCAGAGGTGATAATATATGGGACGGTGATTGTGAGTTCCCAGACCCTCCAAGGTGAGTTCCTGTGAATTCATTGTTCTGGGGTCTCCCTGCTGTTGGTCTCCCCTCCAAAGTCTGTGTTAATGCCAGAGAGGAGGGAGGTTGTATAGACGTGGATGAGAAAGACAAAGGCGATCCGGAAGAAGGGAAAGAGGGGGCAGAAAGAGAAGAAGCAGTTGGGGAGATGGTGGAAGCTACTGGTGTTGCTATGCTCTTGTTAGGAAGACCTGCCTCGACAAATGCTGATGCTGGAACCCTCTGAGCCCCAGTCTTCTGAAGCTGTCCATCCACAATGCTCCACACATTGACTAATACATGTGGATTTTCGTCACTGCTTGCTCCTGCATTGTTTGTGTTGCCATATCCTCCAGAAGCTGAATGGTTGCTCAATCTATCTGTGAAGACCTCGTGACCTGAAAATATGAGGTAACAGTGAGACACTGAATCACTAATGGTAAACAGCATATGTTTGGTTATTAATTGGGGTGATGTAGGTTTAATGAAATTATTTTGAATGTCTTTTTGCACATGTAAATATAAACATTTTGTACCAGAGTAAATCACAATAGTACTATTAATTGTAAGTTGTCTAAGATGTATCAAGTATTAATAATATATCAATATTCAATAAATTATAGTTAACAAAAATGATCTAAATTACAATATTCCATCAATAACGAATGATCATTATGTTTCTATAACAGTTACACATCTGATAAATTGCATGCACAAAGCTTAAATTCTGTGCCACAGAGCAAAAGTAGTAGATAGGAAATGGAAGACTGCATGAAGGATAGTACAACCAAGGTCTTGAGAGCGAAAATGTCTTAATGTTCCTGTTGTCTCGTACAGAGGAAATGATACTAAAGTATTTTGAAGAAACTATATATATAAATATTTATGTGCAGCGAAATATGCTGTTTAGGAACGTGTGATAAGCTTTAAAGACATCCATAAGCATGAAACACAATCATTCATTTTAAAGCACACAGTATTTGAATTTAAATAAAGCGGCGAAGTCATTACGCATGCATATAAACCTAATATCGCAGACCACTGCCCAGGTTGCAGGGTAAGAGACTGTAGGCAAGTCTTACCTGGGCAGTAAACGAAGGCACCTGGCTGAGGCGCAGGAACCAGTGCAGCATGAGGTGTGAGGAGTACCGGGATTTTGGCAAAGTTTGTCTTGTCATAATTTAGTCACTTACTGAATCATCGTATAAGCACGGATTTCCATTTTTTTTCTTATTATTATTATTTCAGCATTTCTCTTTGTCAGTAACTTGCTGCCTAATTTATAAATATCTTTGCAGAAACAAAGTGCTGTTGTGATTATGTTTAACATTTATTAACAATACTTTTACAAATGCACTGCAGTTGTAATGTACATAGTATAAAAAAATAAATAGAATAACAAAAATATCACTGACATTGACATTTAGCATATGTGCTATTTTTACTAATATATGCGGAGAGAGAAAATTGAAAACCTTACTTTCCAAGTTTGTATATTATCTCATTATGATATAATACAAACAGTAATGAGAGTAATGTCAGTGATATCATTTTAAGATACTACCACAAAATATGCTAAGTTTCTATATCGAAAATATTTTGAATCTGACGTTTCTGTGGAACCAGCAGAGTCTGATAATGCTTTACTACGTCTGTGCTGGTGTGTTGTAGTCTGCTTGCGGCTGCTTCCTACCACTTATCGTATCTAAGGCATGCTGAATCAGAAATGATACTTGGTCTTCTCTTAAAGACGCTAAAAGCTGCATGTATTCTTTTGCTTTTGCATTCAAGATGATGTGGTCTTCTGCACTTGTCTCTTGTTGAGCTTTATCTACATGAAATGCAATAGCAGCAGTGAGGATGTCTCTGAAACCTGGATTAGCACCAGCTGCCATTGCTAGTAGCTCTCTAAGGATATCATCATTCTCTATAAGGCTCTCTTCTTGACCAGTGAAATTTCTAGCGAGATCCAGCCTACGGCGTCGTCGACCCACGAAAAGTGGCGTGATGAAAGGCAGAGCCAAGGCATTAGATATTCCTAGTGCTACCAGGGAAGCAAGGCCCAAGGAACATAGTGTGCTCTGAGTGCATCCTTGGACATTTGAGGATGTAACTGTTGCAGGTGATGGATTAAGTGTGCCTCCAGTTAAAGAAGGGATCAAGGGACTGTCACTGAAGCTTGGAGCATCTTGAAAAGGAAGATACGGAAGGCTAGGATCAAATGGCGAGAGATCAGCAGGCTGCTGTAATGGCAAAGAGGATGCTACATTGGGCTGACTGAAGTCTAGAACAGACTGGTCATTGGGAACTGAACCCTGGGACTGCAAACGATCGATGATTGATAAGACATCAGCACGATTAAATGTTGTTTGTTGGTAGCTAGCTGGTGATGCCATTTGTTGGCCAGAACTAATAGAGCCATCTGGAAGTCGCAAATTTTGATTACCTGGCTGTGGGTAACCTAGAGAGACGGACTGTTGACTAAAGAAAGCAGTTGGACTATTTTGCTGACTTGGAAGAAAGAAAGAATTGCTTGGTCTTGAATTTATGAATGCATTAGTTAGCAATGAGGGGGTCAGGTTGGGACTATTAAAAGGACCAGGTTGTACTGAGGAAGCTAATGCACCAGGATGGGGTATTTGAGAATCTGAAGTAAATTGGTTGAAAGTTGATTGTTGTCCTTGGTTCCCTAAAACAGAATTCTGCACTGCATGATTATTCTGGTTCAAGAATCCCTCATTGCCAAGGTGTCCGGAAAAAGTGTTGGTTCCAGTGATAGTGGCAAGTTTTTTACGAAGTTGTTCTCTGTGCAATGTGCTTGAGGATGGAAGAGAGCCAAGCACATCTCTCAAGGGCACAGGGTGATCAAGAGGCTTATCTGGGGGAAGTAGGGGATTGACATGTGGAAGGTCAGAAGGTAGCAGCTCCAGGACAGACCCTCGATGTTCTCCTGGAAAAGATGGCTCTTGAAGCAGCTGGGAGAAACCATTTCCTTGAGTACTTGCACCACTGTTGAGTAGTGTTCCAGCTGCGCTATACCCCACAACTCCTCTAGAAGCTTGGACTCCTGGAGAATTTTTTGTGATATCTCCAAGAATACCTTGCAGGCTAGGATTCTGAACATTGGAACTTTGAATCTGATTAGCTAAACGTGAGAGGACATGCAGGTAGCCAAGATTATTTTCATCTAAAGAGGTTCCAATATTAAGTGGCAGATTCGTATGGTTTCGATTACCTACGCCACCAAAATGTTTAATTTCAGGCATAACATCAGGTTTTGAGGCCTGGGGAAGCAAACCTTTTGAAGGGACACTTTGGATGGCAATAGGAGGTGGAGTAAAGGGAAAATTGTCGCTACCCACACCACCAAACGCAGGTATTGGGTGTGATGGAGTTGGATAAATCTCATGATTATTTTGTAATTTTACCTGATGTTCTTGCGCAAACGCTAAACTTGCTGCTGTTTCATTTCTAGAAAAGGATTCTCGATTATTTGTCTGGGATTGTCTGGTAATTAAATCTTGTTGAGACTGAGTTGCAAGCCTCTGTAATAGAGTATTGAAGCTTGGTTGTTCTTTCAAGTTCGGGATAACCAAGTGGATGACAGGAGAGTCACTTTGGCTACTCTCATCATTAAGTTTAGAAGTTTTCACTAAATACTGTGTTATGCTTTCGGTTTTCTCATCAGGAGATATTGCTGGTCTTCTACTTCTTTCCTTTCTTCTGTAATTGCTTGAACCTCCTGTTGGTTTTCTATCTAGCATCTTTTCAATGATCATTGTATTTTCATTAATTTTCTTGTTTACCCTCTCTACATCGTTATCTGGCTGATCATGTAATGGTGTATGTGCAGAGTTGATGGAAATTGTAGTTCTGTGGCGCAAAGGAGTCTCAGATTTGTTTTTCTTTAATTCTGTTTTGCCCAAATCCGCTTCAGTATTTCCTGTATCTTCACGTTTGCTGGGCAAGGAGCGCCTTTTTCTTGTAGTGTAATTCAAAAGAGAGAAAAGAAGACTGGGATTCTCCATCCTGGTAGCCACCATTGAGAGCACGTCAGATGGTACATCCTGAGGGTTGACTACGGCACCATTTGATAATCCCGAGTTATCGAACATTTCAGACGGCACCGATTGTTCCTCCACAAGTCTGAGCTGCCCATCAACCATTTTCCATATCTTTACCTGTACGGAAGGATGGTGGTTTTGCTGATTGTTGTGGTGGCTATGATTACCTGAAGACTGATGATGCTGATGAACACCATCACTTTGGCCAAGATTACTTTCTGACTCTGCAAATTTGATAGAAAAGTCGTCAGGCTGTGGCAGAAATGTCGTGGGGTCTGAGACAGTTAATACAGAAGTAGAATCAGAGCCAACTTCAGTAAACTGCACATGGTGCTCAGTTACTGTAATTGCATGATCTTTCTGGGATGCAGTACTGGACAGAGAAATATCAGAATTAAATGAATGTACAGGAGACGAATGAATTTCGTCTTGGTAATTATTTAATGATGGTGCACTATCAGGAGGCTGAGATCCATGTTTCTGAGTTGCAGGCCTCAGACCTATTCTCTTAATGGAAGTATCATAAGTCTGATTTCTACTAAAGGGCTGGAAATTATATAAAGGATTGGGGAGAGAGCTGTGTGGTTGAAGTAAGAAAGGTCTGGTATTGTGAGTTGTATTCTTTACATGTACAGGAGTAACATTATTGTTAGGAGAGGTGTGAAAAAGGATATTGGGAGGTGACAAGTTTATGTTTGGAGGACTGAAATACCCTTGCGAATCAGATGAAGCTACATCTGCTTCTGGTAATTGGCCTGAATGAGTGACTGGGTGGAAGTTAGTATTTGTTGGTGTGTTATAGTTCGGCCTATTTTCTAGGTGTGATGATGAATGTTGTTCATGCAGATTTGTCAACTCATGAGGAGGAAATTCACTTTCAACTTTATTTTTTACAATAGATTCATATACTGAAAAACTACTCTTCTTATCATCCTTTACAAAGAATGGACTTGAAAAGAGGTGATACATATTATCTTCAGTAATTTTATAACTAGATGAACGTAAATTTGTGTTTTGTGAAATGTGTCCATAATGGACATAGTTGTGTGAAGTATCCTGCGATAATGTTGGAGGTTTACTGGTACTAAATGAAGAATTGATCTCAGTGTCTTTAGATTCTTGAAAGCTCTCCCGTTCTATAACAGCTACAGTAGGCTTTAGAGGATTAAGTGCAACAAAAGTGTCTAAATCCTTAGTTGGGGAACCATTATGAGATTGTTGTGATTCTCTGTCAGCAGGAGCATATAGAACAGGAGGTCGTCGAGTTGTTGTGGTTGTCTTGATAACCTTAGGGATGTATGATGTGTCAAGGAATCCCACATTGTGTACGTTTAAATTGTGTGGATTATTGTTTGCTTGGAAGCGAATTTCATCAAACTTTGAAGTATCGACTTGGGAAGCTGGAAGGTCTGAATGAGGTAAAGGGTGTACATTCAAATTTTCCTGATGTCCACTGCCTATTGGCCTGCTGATGGATGAATCACCTACTTTAAGAGAATCTCCAACATGAAGTGAAGACTGGAAATCATTGACTATTGGCGTATCTTCATAACTATAGTAGTAAACGTCATTATAGTCAGGATATATGTTACCATTTTCAGTAAGAAAATTAGCATAATCACTTTCATTTACAGAAAGTGGAATAGATGCAGCTAAAGACTGAGATTGAGGATAGGCAGGTATAAGAGATGAATATGTATAAATAGGTGATGCAGTAGTAAAATTAGATTCATTTGTTAAAGTTCCTAAAGAAGAAACAGGAGATATGTTTTCTTTATTCGAAGAACTGATTAAATGAGGTGTATACTTAGTTTCTGACGAGTCATGGGAATTTATAGGGTACTTATTTTCAACAGCAGGGAACTGGGAATAAGCTGAGTCTGAGTCTAAAGGCCTTTTAGTGGTAGGAATGGTGGTATAAGGCCAAGTTAGGGTCTCTAGGATGGAAGGGCTGTTTTTGTCAAGATCAAAGGTTGGAAGTTTGTCGGGTATATTCTGTCTGTCTTCCTCATGCTCGACCCCCAGTAAGTATCCATAGGCAGCATAGTACTCACTCAGATCATCCTCATACACGGCGTAATCAAAGTCGTAATCGTTGTTACCATCCACTGTAGGAAGAGGAGCTGCAAGGGAGGAAACTGGCACCTCAGGTTGAGAAACCTTGAACAGTTCTGTGTGAGTGTCAACTTGCACTTCTGGACTGACCAGTGGGCGTAGAATAGATGCTCGAGTAGGATGTGATTTATCATTGGATATTGTAAACAAGTCTTGTTTGGATGTGGAATGAGTGGGTCCTTGGGTGGGCTTAGAGGTAAAGTGGCTCTGATCTGTATTATAAGATAATTTTTCTGGATGTTCACCAGAAGAACCACTGATTATCTCAAAGAGGGCTGGATCCGGTGTAGTGGCTGGATCTCTTGGTTTGACTTCAGTAGATAATGGGAAGTTGTGTGGCACTTGAGGTCTTGGATTAGTGATCCAAGAAACATTGGGGTTATGCTCATTGCTGGAATCAAAATACCACACCATGTCATCATGAAAGATGCTGGATGTCTTGTTATCATCCAGCTGCTGTGTAGTTGTCCACAATGGTTGTTGAGGAGCCAGGCCTATTGCACCAGGCTCCTCTATTGTGGGTATTTGTGGAAGATCTGTGTCTTGTATGTGTTCCTGCCATGTAGTGCTTGTATCTGTGGCAGAGCTAAAATGTGTCTGGAACCTATTAAGTGCTTCATGTATTAACTTCTGATCATTGTCTGATATGAAATTATTTGTAACAACTGGTTGGGGCCTAGTAGTGTAGCTATCAGTTGGCTGTGGACTTGAATCGAGGTACTGCCAGGGACTAAGAGGCTCATGCTCTGTCTCATAATTTTGTTCTGAAGGTGGCCTAGTATGTTTTACAGGCTTAATACCTTGACCTTCCATAGAATGAGAGTTAAAATTATTTTGATGTGCTGGTGTTTGGCCAGCATTGCTTGGTTTCTGACCTGGCTGACTTGTAACAACCTGTGGTGAAATAGTTGAGGTCCGAGTTATCCTTAGCAGTGGAGCTGAGGAGGTAGTTGTTCTAACTTTTGGTGAATAAGATTCCAGAACCACAGGACCAGAAGTAGAATAAAAGTTAATGTTCCAGCTGAGGAATGGAGATTTCTCAGTGGCAGCACTTGGATTTACTTGGTTTACTGGTACCTGGGTGGTTGTACTGGTTGACTGGGTTGTAGATGCTTGAGTAGTCACTTTGACATAGTTAGGAATTGTAGTATTCTGTACTAATAATGCTGTGGATGTTCCTGTTGGTGAATGGGATTCCTGAATTGCAGGAGCAGAGGTAGGATAATTAATATTTGAGTTAAAAACTGGAGAATTTTCGTTTGAAGCATTTGAATTTAGTTTGTTTACTGGCAATTCAGTTGTGCTAGATAACATGGCCTGAGTTGGTGGTTGAGAAGTCACCTCGACATAGTCAGGTATTGGTCTAAATGTTGGTCGCCATGTTGAAAGCAAGGGTGGCTTAATGGAATCCAGTGGGGGAGGCAGTTCAGTTGGTGGAGGCGGAGTCTTTTCCCCTGTGGGTGTGAATCCTGTTGTCGGTGAGTTACCATTATCTGTTAACCACTGAGTAAAGAAAGTTGATTCTATTGTGGTTAATTCTGTGGTAGAAGTTATAGGGTTATCTGAAGTTCCCTCTGTTGTCACAGCATAAGTGTTAGTGTTTGCCAGAGAACTTGGTCTCCAAGTTATAATGGAACTCGTAGCTGTGACCGCAGAAGTATCGCTAATTGCTAGAGAGCTCGGTTTCCAGGTTATAAGTGAACTTGTAGATGGTATGGGTCCTGTGGCCAGTTCAACTGGTCTTCCAGTTATTGATACAAGTCTTCTTGTTGTCGATGCTGTAGGCATTTTTGATACTGTTGAACTTGTAACTGCTGAGGCTGTAGGTCTCATAGTTGTTGGTGTAGTGGGTGTCCTAGGTGTGGTAAAGGGTCCAGATGTTGAGGAAGCATTTTTAACTGTTGTTGGCAAGGTGGGTCTCTTGGTTGTTAAAAGAAAAGGGATTTTAGTTGAAGGAGTGGATCTCTTGGTTGTACTCTTGTGAATTAGAGGGAATGGGGGCAGTGTGGAAGTGGTAAGTTTATTTTGTGAGGCAGGCCTTGTGGTGGATCTTTGAGGCACACCAGCCAGCTTACTGCCTGCTATGTACTGCCGGATCTGACTGGGATCAGTGGATGACCAGTCAATGGTGCTCACATGGCTGTTAGCTGTCATGAACGTAAGGCTATTGAGGGGAACATAAGGGCGCTTCCTTCCCTCCCGTGGCTCTAAGACCTCGGTCTCAACACTTTCTTCATTTTCGTTTTGTATATTTCTCCCTGCAAAAGACGTCTCGTCCTCACCATGTATTCCTCTCCCATTCTCGCGTGGGAGGAGCGAGGCTGTGTCTCCTCTGGAACTGGCAGAATCGCAGAAGTAACCAAGGGACAACAGTAGAAGCGCCAATGAAGCAAAGGAATGGGTTGACCACTGTAAGGGACTCATCTCACAACAGCTCCTGAAACAGAGACAAAGATCGTGAATTAACAGAAAGTCCTATCAAGTCGTCTAGTATCCCTCTTGAGTCCCTCTTCTCCCTCCTGCACTTTCTCTTTCTCAATTCCTCTAATTGTAACCCACACATTCCACTTAACACCACATCAGGACGTATTCACTCATCCAAGGCCTGTTAAGTTTTTTTTTCACAATTGGTTTACTGAGCACCTGGGGCGTGACGTCACGAACATTTGCTCGAGCTGCTTAAAGAAAATTGATCTATATTTACAGCAAGTAGTATCATCCTGGATTCACGTCTTCCTGTTTTAAACACTACTGAATGGCGCCGAAAATTACCTTCACGTTATTATACGCCTTGCTGCATCCACCGACTCTATTGCAACTGATGTCATCAGCTGCGTGAACTGAGAAGGTATTCTCTTGCAGTCACCCACCAT